AGCATCATGATGTTGCAGGCAGCATCATGATGATGCCTGCGTTATTTTGATGATGTAGGCAGCATTTTGATGATGCCAAAACACATGATAGGAGGACGTCGGCATCATCATCATGACGATGTTCGCAGCATCCTGACAGGCAAACAGCACATGCAAACAGTTCATGGGCAGGTAAAGTACGCTTCTACATGAAAGAAAGAATCAAAATGATGCAGGCAGCATCATGATGTTGCAGGCAGCATCATGATGATGTAGGCAGCACCATGATGATGCCACGACACATGATACGAGGACGTTGCAGCATCCTGGTTCGGATGCAGGCAGCATCATGGTGATGACGCGAGTAGCATCACGGTAGCTATGCAGGCAGCATCATGGCTAGGATGCAAGCATCATCATGATGATGTAGGCAGCAGCATGATGATGCCGGCAACAACATCACCTCCAAAAACCTAGCGGTCTCAGAGTGAAACTGGCAGCAGTTGACGGCGCCAGCGACCGGATGGTGAAGCGAACAACGCCAGGCCGCGAGTCCCACTAGTGAGGCGAGTCGTAATACCAACAAAAGGAAGACCATGCGAGCAATACCTCAAGGCGCGCCCTGTGAACGAACAAGTCCCCTTCCCCGACCCTCAAGCTTCACAAGCCTCGTCCGGTCTTCACCCACTTGCCCACGCAAGCACACATAAACAAACGCGCAAACCACAACGCAACGAGCTCCGGGCTTCCAACCTGGCGCCCGACTCCACCAAACCAACCACAACGTCCTGTGTAGCGACTATCATTCAAGAACTTACCGAAAGAAGTCACTGACCCGACACCCAGCCTGCAACGCTCAGCTTTAGCCCTCGGTTTTCTCTTTCCCCAGTCTGCCACACACACGAGCACACTGAAAACAGTGTGAAAACAGCGCCGCCTGGCGCCCATCCCACCTGCGCTTTCAGCGCAGCTCTGCGACACTGAGAAAAAACACGGCTAGCTGCCGCGCTTGACAAGATTCACCACGCGAATCAAGAGTGCCTTTGCATGTCTGTCATTCAAGCGAATTTGATCCTGCAGCTTCAGCAACTGAGCCTTTTGTTTCTTGCCGGTTGTTGCGCACACCCGGATCAGGCCCTCGCGAAGCTCTCGGGCGGACACATCATTGTGCTCAATTTGCCGCGCCAAAAGGTCAAGCTCCTTCAAAAAGCTACAGCCTCCTGAGTCAGCGTCTGTAACCACGCTCAGCGAGCCTTGCTCAGAATCCGGCAGCGAAGCTGCAGGCTTGCGAACTTGTGCAGTTTCCAGCCCAGTTCTCCGACGCTTCAAAGCCACGTCACCGCAAGCAGCCCCGTCTTTGCTCATGTGCCGCGGCTTGGCCACAAGATTGCCAGACGAGTCCGCATCTGTGGATGGCGGCTGCGCAGCGTTCGTGTCACCAGTGCTCATCTTGCCAGGCGGCCTGTCGTTCCTGACAACCGTTCCATCTGGAGCTGTGAAGTGAACCAAACCCTTCAAAAAGTCGTGCTGCAGATCTCGGTGAGTGCCTCCGCGATCATAAAAATCGGATATTGAGTCAGCAGATTTGTACTGCTCGTACCGGGCATGCGCTCCTGTTCCCGCACGCTTGGAACATGCTTGTTGGAAATGCACTGTCCAGTCAGGACCCACCTCGACCATCTTGGGCCAAAACTGCTGCCATTCGCAGCGCAACACTCCGATGCAGTGAGCAGAGGTTTCCATTGCCTCTGTAGCGGATCCCTAAACGTTCACGCGCCCAAAAAATGTGACGGCAGCCACAACAACCATGCTCGGCACCAACAACAGCGCAAGCCCCGCAGCAACATGCCAGAGAAGCTCTCCCGAGCCTGACAAATCCGCAACCCAACCAGGGAAGATGCACATTGGTTGCAAGACTTGGTCGTTTCCATCTGACTGTTGGGCTTGGTGGACTTGCGAAATTCAGCCCTGGCGAAGCCGCGGTCCCAGCCTCCTGACGCTTGCATAGACGCACGTCACAAGCTGGCATGGCAGAGGCACCTGCAACGAGCTCAGCGTTTCGAATCTCGGGCTACTGCGCGCAAGAAGACGTAGCGCTCGTGCTTCTGGTTGCTGCAGTATACAAAGCAAACCTTGAACTTGTTTCGCGGGCAGCGCTTGCTTCTGGTTGCTGCAGTATACAAAGCAAAACCTTGAACTTATTTCGCGGCAGCACTTGCTTCTGGTTGCTGCAGTATACAAAGCAAAACCTTGAACTTGTTTCGCGGGCAGCGCTTGCTTCTGGTTGCTGCAGTATACAAAGCAAAACCTTAAACTTATTTCGCGGCAGCACTTGCTTCTGGTTGCTGCAGTATACAAAGCAAAACCTTGAACTTGTTTCGTGGGCAACCCCCATAACCAGATCAACCAGCTGCAACTTGGCGACTGCTTCGCTGCAGTAAATGATGGCGTGACAAACAACTAGCTAGCACTTGCCTCTGGTTGCTGCAGTATACAAAGCAAAACCTTGAACTTATTTGGCGGTCAACCCGCATAACCAGATTGACCAGTTGCAACTTGGCGAGTGCTACGCTGCAGCAAATGATGGCGCCAAACAACTAGCTAGCACTTGCTTCTGGTTGCTGCAGCATGCAAAGCAAAACCTGGAACTTGTTTGGCGGGCAACCCCCATAACCAGATCGACGAGCTGCAACTTGGCAGGTGCCTCGCTACAGCAAATGATGGCGACAAAAACTTGCGCTTGCTTCTGGTTGCTGCAGCAAACAAAGCAAAACCTTGCAGCTGGTTGCTGGCTTGTAAACATGTGGCGGCCAACCCTGTGTCTTGCGCAGCAACGCCAGTGCCAACATGCTGGCTGAGTGACAAAAAAGGATCGCCCTGCCCCCCCCCCCCCCAGCCCACAAGCGCCCAGCCTGGCTATGCGCCCGAAGCCATGGCCACACTAATTTGGACGTCAACGGCGCGACGAGGAGGAGGCGCCAGGTACGCTTCCCCTTCAAGCGTGGCCCCCTACAAAATTGCGCAACACCCCAAAAGCAGCAGCAAACAGCTGCGCCAGCACCCCAAACTGCCTGCACCAGCACCTAGCACCCTGCCCTCGGTCTTGCACATATGCGCCCACACCGTTCTCAGCACCTGCACCAGCACCCCAAACTGCATGCACCCTAGCACCCTGCGCTGAATCTTGCAAACATGCACCCGCACCATCCTCAGCACCTGCACCAGCACCCCAAACTGCACGCAACCTGGCACCCTGACCTGAATCTTTCAACTATGCGCCCATCCCGTCAGCACCTGCGCCAGCACCCCAGACTGCACATGTGCGCCCACACCGTCCTCACACCTGCACCAGCACCCGAAACTGCATGCACCCTAGCACCCTGCCCTCGGTCTTGCAAAAATGCGCCCACACCGTCCTCAGCACCTGCACCAGCACCCGAAACTGCATGCACCCTAGCAACCTGCCCTGAATTTTGCAAATATGCGCCCGCACCATCCTCAGCACCTGCACCAGCACCCCAAACTGCATGCACCCTAGCACCCTACCCTGAATTTTGCAAACATGCCCCCGCACCGTCCTCAGCACCTGCACCAGCACCCCAAACTGCATGCACCCTAGCACCCTGCCCAGAATCCTGCAAATACGCGCCCGCACCGTCCTCAGCACCTGCACCAGCACCCCAAACTGCATGCACCCTAGCACCCTGCCCTCGGTCTTGCAAATATGCGCCCACACCGTCCTCAGCACCTGCACCAGCACCCGAAACTGCATGCACCCTAGCAACCTGCCCTGAATTTTGCAAATATGCGCCCGCACCATCCTCAGCACCTGCACCAGCACCCCAAACTGCATGCACCCTAGCACCCTACCCTGAATTTTGCAAACATGCCCCCGCACCGTCCTCAGCACCTGCACCAGCACCCCAAACTGCATGCACCCTAGCACCCTGCCCCCTTGCAAATATGCGCCCGCACCGTCCTCAGCACCTGCACCAGCCCCAAACTGCATGCGCCCTAGCACCCTACCCTGAATCTTGCAAATATGCGCCCGCACCGTCCTCAGCACCTGCACCAGCACCCCAAACTGCATGCACCCTAGCACCCTGCCCCTGAATCTTGCAAATATGCGCCCGCACCGTCCTCAGCACCTGCACCAGCACCCCAAACTGCATGCGCCCTAGCACCCTGCCCTGAATCTTGCAAATATGCGCCCGCACCGTCCTCAGCACCTGCACCAGCACCCCAAACTGCACGCACCCTAGCACCCTGCCCCGAATCTTGCAAATATGCGCCCGCACCGTCCTCAGCACCTGCACCAGCACCCCAAACTGCATGCGCCCTAGCACCCTACCCTGAATCTTGCAAATATGCGCCCGCACCGTCCTCAGCACCTGCACCAGCACCCCAAACTGCATGCACCCTGGCACCCTGCCCTGAATCTTGCAAATATGCGCCCGCACCGTCCTCAGCACCTGCACCAGCACCCCAAACTGCATGCACCCTAGCACCCTGCCCCGAATCTTGCAAATATGCGCCCGCACCGTCCTCAGCACCTGCACCAGCACCCCAAACTGCACGCACCCTAGCACCCTGCCCCGAATCTTGCAAATGTGTGCCCACCCCGTCCTCAGCACCTGCACCAGCACCCCAAACTGCATCCACCCTGGCACCCTGCCCTGAATCTTGCAAATATGCGCCCGCACCGTTCTCAGCACTTGCACCAGCACCCCAAACTGCACGCACCCTAGCACCCTGCCCCGAATCTTGCAAATCACTTTCCCTTCTTTATTAGAAGTTAGAACCCCTATAGCTTTCAGCTATCTGGGGAAAAACACCCCAAAAAACGATGCTTGCAAAAAAAGGGGGAATCGAATTCTAGAAAAACCAGCGACACCCGTAAAGCCCCTAGAAAACCCCCCTAAAACCCCAGAAAAAAAAAGAAAAAAAACCCTAAAACCCCGAGAAAAAACCCTAAAACCCGTAAAACCCGCAACACTCCCCACTGGGCAGCGAGTTTCGAGGTGCCTTTGGCCATGATCGCCACCACCTGGCTGGTGGGTCTGATCATGGCGGCCTTCGAGGGCTGGGACGCGGAGCAGGGCGCCGCGGATCCGAAGATCCGAAGAAAACCGGAGTCGACTATAGGTCTTAGCTGGGTGCCCTGTTGAACCCCTTTTCCAACTGTTTTGGTTGGGAGGGTGCCCTTGTACCGTTTCTTTTTGGTTGGGAGGGTGCTTTTTTGAACCCTTTTGTGGTTGGGAGGGTGCGCTTTTGAGAGCCCCTTTTTTGGTTGGGAGGGTTCCCGTACTAAAGTAGACTACCGAAAAAAGTTGGTAGCCTTATTCTAACCTCTCTACTGGAGGACCTTGGGATTCGACACGGCCCAAGTGCCAGGGAACGCCAGGGGGGGGCACCAAGCGAAAATCAGGAAAAGGAATCTATCTTAAGGGAGAACGCCAGGGGCCAGGGGGTTGGGCAAGTTGGGGGGTCCAACTGGAGTTTTCAAGAAATACGCCTAGTTTGTTCAAAATCGACCCTTCCTTGTGGGTAGGTAAGGGTTAGGAACTCTAACCCATTTACACATGAAGCTGCGTGGAACGTTTCGAGGCTTCTTCTTTGCGGAAGGATTTGGTCCAGGCCCCTTTAGCACCTGACGAATCGGGACTTGTCTTGAGATGTGAATTGCTGCAATTCACCAAGACAAGTCTTCTTCTAGGAAAGCATGTTCGTTTGCTTGCTTGCTTTCGTACGTTCGTGCGTTCGTGCTTGTTTGCTTGCTTGCTGTTTGCTTGGTTGCTTGGTTGCTTGGTTGCTTGGTTGCTTGGTTGCTTGGTTGCTTGGTTGGTTGGTTGGTTGGTTGGTTGGTTGGTTGGTTGGTTGGTTGGTTGGTTGGTTGGTTGGTTGGTTGGTTGGTTGGTTGGTTAAACACATTTTGCAACCAACCCTGCTTCCATCTCCAGTTTGCTTTTCCCACCTTTGTTCATTTTTTTGTCCGCGGATCGTCCAGATTTGTTCCCGCTTGTGCCGTTTTTTTTTACCCCAGCTGTCCGTATTTTTCGCCGCCCGTCCCGACCCCGTTTTGTCCGGGCTTTTCCAGAGTTCCATCTTGTTTTGGCGTGCTGGTTTTCTCCAGAAAGCCCAAGGTGCAATGCTGTTCGGGCTTGGTGCACCTGACATTTCTCGTGGAAACCACGGTCTTTTGCCGGGTTCCCGTGCTTTGACACATCCAACACGAGTAGTTTCTTTTTGGTTCTCCCCTTGAAAGCCATGCAAAAAGCGTGCACTCATGAGAGTTGCAACCCCACACAATCTTGACCCCATATTCATCAACCCCAGTTTATTACTAGGGGTGGTCCAAAAGTGGTCTTCACATTTCACCCAGGGACACCCCCATATGAACCCCTGTTCGGAAATTTCCCCAGAACACCTTAAATCAGCTGTTTTCTGTTTTCCCGTAGAATCTCCAGTAATTTCCAGTAGAATTTCCTGTCGAATTTCCTGTACAATTTCCTGCAAAATACGCGGTTTTCCTACATCAACCAACCCTTTTTGAACCCTTCCACTCGGCTTCTCCTCCCGAAGCAAGGGGTTTCATAGGGTTTCATAGGGTTTCATCAGTATCTCAGTTGCCCAAAGCCGACCTTTTGACCTTTTGCTTTTCTAATTTTGGTCCATATTTAGTCATGGCCCCGAAAGGTTAACCTTTTGGTTCCAGGTCCTTTGGGCAACTGAGGTATGAACCAACAGGGGATGCAAAATCGGGCAAGCTTCCTCGGCTTCCCGAAGCCGAGGCTACTTCTTCATGGCCGCCTCGATGGCTTCCCTGGCCAACCCCGTGACGTCCCTGGAGCCGGACACCGCCCTGGGCGCCTTCTTCGAGTGCCTCTGCATGGCCACGGAGCTCTGCGCCCCGGTTTCACCAACAAAAATGCCGAGGAAACCGAAACCCACGGCGGTTTGGCGTTTTTTTCCTTTTTTGTTCTTTCTTTTTTTTTCCGATTTGCTTCTTTCGCCGTTTTTGTTTGGGGGTTCTGTGTGGGTTTGGGGGGTGGGGTGGGGGGGGGGTGGGGGGATTGGCGATGGTGGTTGCGCCTTCGTTTTTTTTGGGGTTTGGGGGTGGGGTGGTGGTGGTGGTGGTGGCGGTGGCGGGTGGCGGTGGCGGTGGCGGTGGCGGTGGCGGTGGCGGTGGCGGTGGCGGTGGCGGTGGTGGTGGTGGTGGTGGTTCTTTTGCGTGATGTTTTTTTCTTTTTGGCGGGTGTTTGAGGGAGTTGGTTCATGGGTCGGCGAATTCAATCCCCCCCCCATTTTCGGAGTAGTCTTCGTTACCTAGAAAAAGGGAATTATGCCATCTACTTTTACTCTGGTGTACCCTTTTCCAGGTTGGTTCAAGGTTGGTTTTCGATTGGTTTTAAGCTTGACTTCCTTTTAGTTGTGGGGGTCCATTTTGCGGCTGCGACCGGGACAGCATAGGCGTGGAGTTTGGAATAAGGGGGCCTTTTGTTTCCTTCTTGGTGGTTTTAACATCACCCCTTGGCCCATAGAAGGTGAGTTTCTCTTGACCAGGATGATGTCCAACTGTCCTTTTTTTGCGGTGGAACCAGGTCGACGGTCTAGGAGAGCTAAGTTAGGAACAACAAAAACAGTTCAGCTTTTTTCCAGACTGGAAAGTCTAGGGTTTCTATGTATTCTCTGATTGGATTTGCTTTTTGGCGCTGGGTCCCTTGGGCTTGGGTTCCTTTCCACTGGCGGTTGCTCCTCTCGCCTGGCTCAGGTTTTTCTGCTTAGATGGTCTGGGACAAATCGCTAAATGGTGAGTAACCCTAGTTACAACGGACTTACAATGGTTATAAGTGGGTTGCAACCAGGGCAAAGCTAGTCCTTTAGCGATTCCTGCCAGACCATTTATAAGTACAGGCTCACAAACACCATGGACGTGTTTTTTGTTTTTTGCGCGGCTCGTGTTGGACCTTGGGCCGTGAGAAAGCCAAGGCGAGTTTCCAAGCCTTTCTTTCCCTGGGCAGCGCGTCCTTTTCGGTCCACCAGTTTGAACATCACCATTTGAGTCACAATCAAAGCCCGGGTAGATGTCGGTGAGTAAGGGACCTCTTCATTCTTTACATGGCTCTGGGTCTACCATTTTGATACCGGGTTTTGATTATGACTCATTTGAGTCCTTTCCTTCATTTGATGTCTGTGGGAGGGTGGACTTCCACAAATGCACGCGCGCAGACACACAATTCCAGACATTGGAAGCAACTGCCATCTCCGTTCTTGTGGGTTGGGGGAAGCCTCTGGCCCATCGTGATCCAGTTGCGCCTTAGAACGGACATGCGGACGGCATATGCAGGAAACTGGACTCGGGGCACAAGTGAGTGCAACAAGTACCCCAAAGAGCACAACCTAAGAGGGATTCCCGCCAAGACTGGGTGCGTCAGTTGAGGGTTGTTGTTCGCTCTCCTTTTGAGACACCGCGTAATTACCTGTACCAACCCCACAAATTCTGTGCAAAGGGCCCACCGCATGTTTGTTTTATCTGTTTTGTTTGTTTGTTTGTTTGTTTGTTTGTTTGTTTATTTCAATGGGATTAACATCTTCAAGGTCATCTCTCTCTCTCTCTCTCCAAAGGGGGGTTAGTTAGTTAGTGAGTTAAGTTTATGTAGTTTAGTTGAGTTTGTTGAGTTGAGTTTAGTTTAGTTTAGTTGTTTTTTGATTTTGTTTAGTGATTTAGTTTAATTCCGTTTGTTTTGTTTGATGTTGTGGTTTCTTTCTTCGTGTTGTGTGAGCCCGAGGTCGGTGTCCATTGGTCGCGTTTTGTTGTCTTTTGTGCTGGTTGGTGCCTGTCTTTTCATGGCTGAGAGCTCACTCAAGAGTTGTTGCGTAGCTCTGGGCAGTTTCGGGATTTCTTTGGGCCGCCTTTGAAAACAGCAAAAGGACGTGGCTGGTATTTGCAAGAGCCTCTGAAGCTTCCGCATTGGGCCAAAGCTAGGGACACACCCCAGATGGTTGGTTCATGCTTGCTTCCTTTGCCCGACCTGATGTTCTACCCTGTTTTTGTGAAGTGTTTCCAGTATCACTATCACCTTCGTTTTAGGATTGGAATACCCAACCGCGTTCATTCCTTCGGCTGGTTGGAGTCTGGTTCGAATCGAGGCATTGCCGGGTGTATTCTGGGGATGGTGGCCGCGCACCCTGTGACCATGAGCATGTGTGACATTCTGGAGGGGACTGCCAGGCAGTGGGGGGTGGGTGGTCAGCGTTGCCTATACTTCTATTCGTGGTTGATATTTTCAGCATCACCTTTTGGTTGCCAATTTGCAGCAAGTGTTCTTTAGGGTGATGTCAAAAAGGCGGAGATTTGGGTGTGGGTCAAAGTTAAACCACCAGGGGACCGCAGGTTGTAGTCCAAGCTTCCTTTACCAGGGCAACCCATTTTGGGTACATATTTTTGACCCACAGCCTAGGGATTTCTCTGGTGAAGGTTCCTCGCTCTCAGCTTGCCTGGACAATTTGTCGCTTGGAAGTCCTTCCATTTAATAATTTCTGACCAAAAATCCAGAATGAAGAGAGAGATAACATGAAAAAGAGAAGGGACATGTCTTTCACCAGCATAGAATGGTGGTTGGGTGAACAGACATGGAGAATGAGAGAGATGAATGGGAAAGAGATGACCATTCACTCTCACCTGTCCCTTCCTCCATCGGTGGGTTGTACCTCGAAGGCAGCCTTGGGCGGTTCAGGGGCCAGAGGGCCAGATACTCAGGTGGAAGGCCCCAGGGGCAAAATGGCTGTGGTTGTCAGAACCAATAATGGTTGACAATTTTCCATTTTTTCGTGAGAAATGGCTGTGGGTTGTCACAACCGTTTTGGGATCCCATTTTGGGGGATTGGTGAATTCACCACCCATTTTAGAACCTATTTTAGTGGTTGGATTGAATCGGATGTTCACTGGGGGTACGATTTGGATTTTGCCCCATGGCCAAATGTGTCTCTCCTCGGTTGGGCTGCAAGTGAAATCGAAAGGAGCCACATAGCCAAAAAATTCGGCGTTGCCTGTGGAAGCTATCTTTGGATCCTCCTTTTGGCAACCGGCTTCTACCGCGGTCGGGTCTTGGAGCACTGGAGCACCCTGTGGGGCTTGTCTCTTTCAGACGTCTCACCTCTAGCCCTCTAGCCTTACACCATCCCAGCCTGAGTTTGCGGCAGATTTTGCGGCAGATTTCGGCGTCTCTGACCTGAAAAAAAGAAACCACGACCTGCGACTGACCTCATCCCTCTGGTCTGTCTGCGCAACCTCTCCTTTAGAGCCAGCTCAGTCCGCCGCCACCGTGCATGTCCGCCCAAAGGTTCATGACTGGAGACTCATGATGCAGGCCTAGCTTCTGCAGTTGTCGCATTTTTGCACAACATTTTCTGAACAGTTTGTCAGCTTCAGTGTCAGCAGCTTTGGGGCACATTCGGCAAGTCACGAGCACACTTCCTCTCCATTTGCTTTGTTTTCTTGCAGCACAGGGCGTCATCTGTCACGGTCTTACGTGAGGTAAATTGAGACGCTTCGCGCTACAGCCGGCCACCGGAAAGGCAAGCGATGCAAAACATATATATATATATATATATGTATTTTCCAGCGCCGTCACTTTCGGCAAGCCGCACAGCAACATGGAACAATGGCTGGGGATCAGAGACGGACAACTAAACAGGTGTCCAGATGGCCATGAACTGTAACAGGGAACCACCTCAAAAGTCATTGCTGGACGTGAATTCCCAGCTAAATGATGTCCACCAAGGGTCCCTGATTAAAATTCATACCCACATGTTGTGCCCGGCCAAAAGCCAAGCAAACCGCAACAACACTGGGGAGGGTAAATCTGAAACAGGATTTGAACATGCTGTGGCTTAAACAATGGAGCCCAAAATGGCCACGAAAAACCCTGCGGTTTGCCCCAAAAGAATGATTGACATCCATTTGCTCAAGATTCTTTTTTGTTTGTTTTCCCTTGCTGGTTTTAAAGGGAATCTATCACTACTGGAAATATGTGTGATCTTTTCCAGGGGGCTTAAGCGAATGGAAATTGAGCATCCCCCCCCCTTCTGTGTCCAGGCACGGAGCATCCATGTCCGCTCTCCATTTCAACATGCCGAACCTCACGGTCGAGGAGCTGCAGGCGGCCGATTTTTGAACCGAACCGCTGGGCAGGGTGACGAAGTGTTCGGAAGGGTAGCCGCCTGTGGTATACAGGAGTCCCTCCACTTGGGGGACATGTATATATGTATATATGTATAACGATATATATATATATATATATGTATCTTTAGTACTATATATATATATATACAGGGACGCATTATACATGTACAATACAAACACAAACATGTATACACAGAAGTGTGTTTTAACCTAGGCTACTGACAACTTACTAACTTGGCCGAACATCCCAGCACCGTTTTGCGACAAACACCCGCCATCTTGTTTGGTTTGTTTTGGGGATTTGGACATTCCCATTGGGTCGGATCCGTTTCAAGTTTTGCATGAACAGCCTGTGTCGATTCTTTCTGCTCTTTCCGCGGTTTTGGGTCCTCCAGCTATGGCCCAGTGGGCTCTGCGGCTTTCCGGCCTTTGAACTCTTTGGACCACAGCGCGGCAAAAAATGCGGAAGGGTCTGCGCGGGCAAGTCATCCGCCAAGCTTTGGCCGAGTTTTGGCCGAGCTTTACGGGGTTCTCTGAGATAGGCCAAACAAAATGCCCGAGTTCTGGATCCCTGGGCTCTTAGCCTTCCTCTTCTGTATTGGTGTGCCAGCACATAGATGCTACAGGAGACGATTTCAAACATCAGCCAAGTGGGGCATCTCCAGATGAGGTTCGGCCAAAATGGGGAAGAAAAAAACAAACAATCTACCCCTGCCAAAAACACCCAACCCAGCAACTCTTGTTCTGAGGTAATCCCCAAAGACATGTCCCCCAAAAGGACACGCCCGCTTCGCTACTCACTTCCTGAGTTCATGAACTTTAAACTTTTTGGGAAGACCATTTTAGTGGTAAATATAAAGTTAGAACTTTTTTTGGGCCATCCACTCAGCAAGTGAGGCTTTCAGTTGGACAAAAAGCAACTTTTCGCCGCCAGGTGAGGCTGCAAGCGCTTCGCGGGGAGGCGGAGGTGCGGGCGCCCGATGACAAGGAGCTCTTGGAGCAACTGGCGGAGGTGGAGGCGGACCTGAAGGCCGGCGGTTTGGAGGATCAAAGGCCTCCTTGTTAGGTTACCCCCTCCAAATACCTGTTGTTTTCAGGGTATGATGTCGACCCTCTACAGACAAAGGAGGTGTTTACCATGGAAACCCAGGGTTTTCAATCAATACCTTAAAAAACAACGAGGGTATTCGGTTTTTTTGGGGGTAGTTTGGCGAGACATCGATGGGTTCCACTGATCTAGACTGGTTTTATGCTCCATTTGCCAGGGCCTATTTCACCAAAAACGCCCTTTATGCAGAGGGGATTTCTCAAGCGAATCGAGCTTTTCGCCTGAGAAGGCTTGCTCTTTTTCCGGTACCAAACCTGGGTCTCCTCTCCCAAACTATTCGTCAGCACAGGTTATTTTCAGTGTATCCCAGATGTGGGAGAAGAAGCCTAACACTGATGGTTGTCTAATTCCCCTACCAGTTTCAAGCGAGTAGATCTTTTGAAACTTGCATTAATCTGGGAGGTTGAAAGGAGGTAGGTGGGTGTATCCCAGCAATCATCGGGTTTCATCCATGCCAACCGGTGCGAAGCGGATTTGCCGCATCATGCCTTTTTTACAGACATCCCCTCAGATGATTCCCAGGCAAAAAGCGGTCCACCTCAATTGGGGCCTGAAGCTTCCGCAGTCATGCCGTTCGGCAGGACCTCATGGCGCCGATTTTCGGCAGGACCCAAAGGAAGAGTGTTGGGCTTAAAGGTTCCTTTTGTAGGGCGTCTTGCGAAGGTCTTCACTGACCTCATTTTGACCGGGGTTGCCAAGGTCAGAAACTGGGGCCGGGTGCTTCCCTTCAAGCTACGACTCGGACGGTGATAAGAGCATTTGGTGGCAAATTGGTTTGGGGTCCTTTTGGTTTTTCCGTTTCCAGGGGAAAATGGATGTTTCCTCATCCTTAGGCCACTGGTAGCAAGCCCGGTTGTGTTTTCGTGGGGCCATTTCGAACCCGTTGTCGTCAGTGCTACTGACTCTTTGAGACCGGGAAAGGCCATCTTTTGGGAAGCACACATCCTTTCACAGGGCTCCTTAAAAGACACATTTCGCAACCATTTGAAACATGGGCTTTCTCCACCAAAATATAGAGAAACCACCATGTACGAGGCAATGTTCAGGTGTATAATGTAAGGATCCCTGTTTCAACAAATAGGCCTCACTTCTGATTGGTCTCCAAAAGGACGCCTATTCAACCAACTTCCTTTCGAGGCCACTGCTTGCCTCAAATGGCAAGGGCCCCAGAAAATGGCACGGTCTCCTTTTGGCTTTTACTTAAATACCGACCAAAAGGGTCCACCATATTGAGCAACTCCCATTTCTTCGCAGCCTTTTCTTGCCTTCTTGCCGTCCTCGGGATCCCTCGGTTTTGAAGGTGTTTGATCTGCCCTGAAGGCTGGCAAGGATCTGACCATGGTGGCGGTCCACATGTCCGAGCTGCACGAGAAGATCCAGAGTGTGGCTTGATCGTCCGAATCTTCCGCATGGATGGAAAAAGGCTCCGCCAGGAAGTTCCTGAATCTCACAAGCCAGAATTAGGTGGGTGTGTCTTTTTTGAGGGTAGTTTCATCAGGTGACTTTAAAGGGAGAGCCATGGATGTGTTCCTGCTTTAACACACTCACTCACAATTTGTTACCCATTTGGTGGCTTGGTGGAATGTCTTGCCTTTGCCTCACTGTTATTTGCATTGTTTTTGCGTGCTTTCTTGTTGGTCCTGTTCACTCCTAGTAGGGCAAAACAATGCTTTTTGCTATACCATACCTAGGTTTGAACTTTGCGAATCTTTTGGCAATTCCAATGCATTCCTTGTTGTTGCTTTGCTGCGGCGGGGATGCCAATGCATATTCATCCTTTTGTTCCTTTGACACCTTTGAACTTTTACTCTTGACGCCATTCGTAGCTTTTCCTGTTAGATTGGTGCTGAGTGGTTCTACTTCCGGGGTTCATAAAGGTTATAGTACGATCTTACAACCCTTCTGGTTGTGGGACACGGTGTCTTTGAGGAATAAGGAATATCTGAACATGAGTTTGCGTTTTTTGACTTTTCAGGTTTAAGGGAAAGCAAAAGGAAGGCCACCATGCTAGAAATAACAATGGTACTAGACACATCTGATTGGAATGTGTAGAAAACACACCACCAATGCTTTTCACAACACAATTACCGGGCAACATGGCGTCCACCAGTTTGAGAAACTCCCATCCTTACTCATGCGATTCCACGGATAATGACAATAGTACTGTTAAGAATATCACTAATCATGTTTAGAGAATCATAAGTATGGGGCTCCACCATTTTGACCCCCCCCCCCTGGTGCTTAAATATATCTGGTCCCCCCCAACACCCACGAACTCAATGCATGTCCAGCTGAAAGAAGACATCAGGGCAATTCCAAGAAGGGCAATTACTTTGGACGATTCATGCTCTGGACAATCCCTCAAACACAAAACAAACAGAAAACCGGAGTCTCTCAGGGAAAGGTAGCTGGAAACCGGGAAAAACTTGGGGAAAAAACAGCGAAACACCATACTATCTGAGGGAAAGGTAGCTGGCAGACATTCTCCCACAGGAGTATGATATTTCGGTTTTCTTCTTCTTCTTCTTTTTCTCCGGCTATTCTATTCTGGTACTACATGTGTTCATTCAAAGCGTTCAGTATTGTAGTCATAAAGGCAGGAATTACATGATACATATTGTGTTGTAGCACATTTTTATGTTGTTCTTTCTTTGGGAGCTGCAATTGCAATCTTCTTGGATACAATATTGTTGGTGCTAAGCATTTATTACTTTCACCCTCTTGTACAGTCTCTCTATATCATTGCAGCTTGTTTTTTTATGGCTATTATTCTTACCTTTTCCCCGATACATTTCTTAAGATTTAATGTTATGCCAAGAAGGTTCCCATCCTTTCAGGATTCTTTTCATTCCCACAGATCAAGCAGGTGTATATATATATATATATTTACATATGTATGTATGGCGCACCCCTCCTCCTCCCCCTCCCCCCCCTGCCCGCCGGGGCCGGAAAATGCACTATGTGCGCAGCGCCCAGGGTTGAGAAGAGGCCCAGTTGGCAATGCGGTTTGAGTGAAGCTGATGAGTGCCCTCAAACCAAGCACCAGCGCCTGATTTCAAGCGCGTCTGTGCTATCGTGCCTTTTCTGTGAGAATCGCGACGAGCAGAAAAGACGGATGCAAATCTCCCAAAGCCCTAAAACCACTGCGCCACAAAAGTCCAACCTTGACACCTCACTGTCTTGGCTAAGAGAAGCGCCCTCACGCCGCGAGAAGCAACATGCGCTCGAAGACACACTCCAAACTCAACAAGTCAATAGCATAAGCTCAGGTGATATCCCCAGCAGCATTTGCGTTTTCAACCCTCGCGGAACGCTGCTGAACCTTACCGCCCCACCCCGGAGCCCTCGCAGAACCCTGCGGAATCCCAGCCAAACCTACCTCAGCCCCGGACCACCCTGGAGCCTACCAAGGTTTCAGCTGTAAGGAAAGCATCTCAGAGGGGGGCCTCAACTTGATTGCTCTTGGGTTGGATCTTTAGACTTTAACTTTTTGGGAAATAAAGGTGTTTTCTACTAAACACCCAAAAAGTAAAAAATTTTGCAGGGTCAACAGCAATCAAGTCAAGTACTATCCGGTACAAATTCTTATGCTATGCTTACCTCTCTGTCGCTTCAGGCCCCAGGGGGCCTCGGCGGAAAGCAGCAAACGCAATCCACTGAAGTTGTGGGTCCTGAAACAAAAACCCAAAACCAGGAGAACGCAAGCTCTTCAAACCGGCGAACATTTGCTTAAACTAATGCAAAGAAATGGACACCAATCGAGTCCTGCCGGCTGTTGCATCTTGGTTCATTTTGTTTGGCATCCTTTGAGCCTCTGCAGGTGTTAGAGCTTGGGGCTTTGTTTTGTTTGCACTTGTCTGGACCAGGTCGTGAAAATCCAGAGCTCCGAACCTGCACAGGCTCAAAGAAGTGCAACCGCCAACATCCGGACCTAGCAAGTTGCCAGTGAAACCGCAGCTGGGTGTTGCGCTTCTTGGCTGGGGCCAGGTTTTGCGCCTGTGGCTGGTGTTAGAGCTTCGGGCTTTGCTTTTTGAGCCCTACGGACCTTTTTGGAGCTCAACCATGAAAAACTGTCTGCAAACCAAGTGGAAACTGAGCATTTGGGAATGACTTCTTTCTGTGCAAAAACAAAGTAGGCAGGCGGGCCATGGGGTGGGTGGCCCTATGCATGTATATATATATATACACATGATATTTATATATATATAGCTATATACACGAGTAGCACAAATATGATGTTAAAACCTTTAACGTCTTGGTTGAGCATGTGTGCGTGTGTGTTTGCCCACGAACCAGCAAACAGTTCCCCGCTGGCACAGGCCTTAATTAGTTGGTGGTTTGGATTGGCAACATGTCCAACCCAAATCACGGGACAAGGTGATACGGTCAGCGGAAGTGAACAAGTCCGGCGAGTCTTATCCTGATCCACTCAATTCAGGTAGGAAAATCCCCGGGTGGGCCAAGGTCCAAGGAAAATCCCCGGTCCAAGTCAGGTCCACTCAAGTCAGGTAGGAAAATCCTTTTCGGGGGCCTACACGCTGGACCCAGGCGAGCCAGAGATCTGGGGATCCGAGCGCTGAGTTGGAGGTGGCGCAGCTGCGCGCACGGGTGGCAGAGCTGGAGAAGATGCTGGGTCAGGAGGAGTTGGAGACTTGGAGCCAATTGGAATGTTTTCCCATCTTGGTTGATTTTTTGTCATGTGTTCCATGTTGGTCGAGTGTTATATAGGAGCCAAATGGGTAGGGGTCAAAATTGAGCCACCAAAAATTGGACCGCATATTTTAGTCCATGTTTCCATTTACCAGGGCTCCATGTTGGTTACATACTTTTTGACCCAGAACCAATTGGATTGCCAGTGTTTTTGTTTTTGCCGTTTGCATTTTGGTCGATGGTTTGTCATGTGTGCCATGTTGGTCGATTGTTATATATATATATATATATTTCCGTTATGTTGTTTGGAACTCAGTTTTGCATGTTCCCATCTTGGTCGATTATTTGGTCGATGTTTTGTCATGTGTTCCATGTTGGTCGATTGTTATATATATATATGTATATATATATATATATATTATTTCCGTTGTTTTTTGGATCTCAGTTTTACAGCTTCCCATCTTGGTCGATATGTTTGTCGATGTTTGATCATATGTTCCATGTTGGTCGATATATATATATATACACATATTTCTGTTGTGCTTTTTGCATTCAGTTTTACATGTTCCCATCTTGGTCGATATTTTGGTCGATGTTTTGTCATGTGTTCCATGTTGGTCAATTGTTATGTATATATATATACATATTTCTGTTGTGCTTTTTGCATTCAGTTTTACATGTTCCCATCTTGGTCGATATTTTGGTCGATGTTTTGTCATGTGTTCCATGTTGGTCGATTGTTATGTATATATATATATATACATATTTCTGTTGTGCTTTTTGCATTCAGTTTTACATGTTCCCATCTTGGTCGATATCTTGGTCGATGTTTTGTCATGTGTTCCATGTTGGTCGATTGTTATGTATATATATATTATTTCCGTTGTTTTTTGGAGCTCAGTTTTACAGTTTCCCATCTTGGTCGATATGTTTGTCGATGTTTGATCATATGTTCCATGTTGGTCGATATATATATATATATATATACATATTTCTGTTGTGCTTTTTGCATTCAGTTTTACATGCTCCCATCTTGGTCGATATTTTGGTCGATGTTTTGTCATGTGTTCCATGTTGGTCGATTGTTATGTATCTATATATATATACATATTTCTGTTGTGCTTTTTGCATTCAGTTTTACATGTTCCCATCTTGGTCGATATTTTGGTCGATGTTTTGTCATGTGTTCCATGTTGGTCGATTGTTATGTATATATATATTATTTCCGTTGTGCTTTTTGCATTCAGATTTACCGTGTCCCATCTTGGTGTCAATTTTTTGGTCGACACTTTGTTGTTTGGGCGAATTTGGCTTGTTCCTTTTTGCTGTATGTTGCATTTCGGTCGATTCTTTTGCCATTTGTTCCATGTTGGTCGAATGTTATATCTTTTCCGTTTTTTTTTTGCATTCAGTTCTGTATATTTGTCATTTTGCTCCATTTTTGCCGTTTGTTCCATTTTGGTCGATTTTTGCCATTTGTTCCACGTTGGTCTTTTGTTCTATTTTCCAACTATGTTTTTGCCATTTGTTTTTATACATTTTCCCCTCTTGGTCAAGTTTTGCCGTTCGTTCCATCTCGGTGGATTGTTGCCATTTGTTCCATCTTGGTCGAACGTTATATCTTGTCCGTTGTGGTTTTTGCATTCAGTTTTACATTTCCCCATCTTGGTCGGTTTTTGCCGTTTGTTGCATTTTGGTCAGTGTTTTGTTATGTGTTCCATGTTGGTGGATTGTTGTATTTTTCCTTGCCTTTTTGGATTTGTTTGTTGTTTTTCAAGTTCTGGTTGTTGTTTGCAGTTTGTTCCATTTTGGTGGTGTTTTTGTCATTTGATCGAATTTTTGTCGATTGCGTTTTTTTGTGCCCGCTGTTTTTTTGGAATTCATTTTTTTGTTTAAACAAGTTTCTCCATCTTGGTCGATTTTTGCCGTTTGTTGCATTTTGAATGATTTTATTGCATTTTTCCATGTTGGTCAACTGTTCCATATTTGTTTGCTTGTTTGGAATTCTGTTCTTTGTTTTGTGTTTTCCAATGTTGGTTGATTTTTGCCGTTTGTTCTAGCTTGGTCGATGCTTTTCTCCATTTGTTCCATGCTGGTCCATTGTTCTATGTTTTCAGTTATGTTTTTTGCATTTAGTTTTGCATTTTTCCCGTCTTGGTCGATTTTTGCGGTTTGTTACATGTTGGTCGATTTCTGCCATTTGTTCCATGTTTGTCGATTGTTATATCTTTTCCGTTGTGTTCTTTTTGCAATCAGCTTTACCATTTCCCATCTTGGTCGACCTTTGCGGTTTGTTAGATGTTGGTCGATTCTTGCAATAGTTTCCGTTGTGACTTTTTCCTTCTCAAATGCTTTTCCATTTTGGTCCATTTTTGACGTTTGTTCCAGCTTGATGCTTTCTCCATTTGTTCCATGTTGGTCGATTGTTCTATGTTTTCCGTTATGTTTTTTGGATTTTCTTTCTTTCTTTCTTTCAAAAACAAATATTTTCCCAACTTGGCCGATTTTTGTTGTTTGTTCCATTTTGGTCGATTTGTGCCATGTGTTACGTGCTTGTCAATAGTTATATTTTGTCTGTTGCTTTTTTTGCAGTATTTTTAGAAGAATGCCCCCTGCTGGAATCCACATTTTCCTGATGGTAGGTGGTGCATGCATGTCTAATTCAACCTTGCCCCCGGAATTCATGTTTGCTTGAACTTCCCTTTGAATCAGGTTTCCAGGGTTGACACTGATAACAAACATTCAGTTCGCCTTGGATGACTTGTACATTTGGCTCAAGATAAAAGGAGGGTCGCGCGAGTGAAGCTTTCTGTGCCGCCATTGCACTTTTGGTTACACTCTTCACTTCATTTGTCTTGATTCGTATTTCGTCTGGTTATCAGCCGTAGCTTTTGAGCTGCGACCGATAGCTACGGCGGGTGAGGGCGTCGAGCATCCGGGAGTTGCACCGGAACTGTGGAACCTCTTCGGTTGGCATCGAGCCGGACGAAGAGGCAAGTCACAGAAACTTGGTGTACTACGTGACGGATTGGCCGAGGGGGTTTTATCAAACGAACCTCCATTTGTGCTGGATAGCACCTGGGACAGGCTTGCACGTGCAAAAGTCAACTGGGAACAGCTACAGCTCTACGAACAGGCCTTTTGGAACGAGCAACAGCGTCTGACTGAGGAGCCCCAGAATCATCGGGTGTCTTTTCGGGTTGTGAAGGCAGCGGATCGATCTGCTCCTCTTAGGCTTGTGCAGCGCGAGTCGCTCCGAGCCGAAGAGCCTGCATCGTCATCTGCGGAGCCTGTGCAGCACAGATTGCTCCAGGCGACCAGCAAAGCTGCGTCGAGGCCAGAGAGCACTTCACGTACGCCGAGGCGCGCTGAGCCTTCCGGGCATCACTTCGCTGCGGTGATTTGTGATTTGACTCTTGCCACAGGAGTATTCAAGTGTGTGAACAGCAATTGGGAAGATCAAGGATTGTCCTTTGTCTACGAGCCGCGCTACGGCATTGACTTTCGGGACAGTTGCGTGGTTGCAATCGACTATCACCAGGTTCTTGACAGAGCCCGTTGCGGACGCACAGAGTGGGATTACGAAGGTATTTGCCACGACAACCTCGAAGCGATTAGACAGCTGAAAGCCGCTTTCTTTCGCGAAGGTATCCACGTTGTGACAATCTGCCTATCCTACCTCCATAGCCAAGAACGCCGAGACGCATTGGTTGCTGCGTTCAATCGCACTCCGGATATCTCATCAGTTTTTGACTTCATCGTTACAACTTCTGAAAGGGCCAGTTTCAATCCCAGGACCCAGAAAGGTGGGAAGGTGCTAGTCCTTCAGGATCTGCTGTCAGTTGGATTCCGCTCGGAAATTCATCGTTGACGACAGTGACGAGGTCATCAACAGTATCATCGATCGCCAGGTACAGGACAAGATCTCGGGCATTCACATCAAGCTTCGCAGAAAGCCACCGGCCAACAATTTGTTCAGGCCAGTCGGATTTCTTGAGGATTGTGTGGCCCATTGGCCGGAGTGCGCCGCAAGGTGCAGGCAGGCATTGCGTCAGTAGCTTTTCCTGTCCGACCAATTTCAAGAAGCAATGGAGCCGTCAGAAATAGTTCCAGCTGCTCAGGGATCTGTACAGATGTTTTCACCCCCGCAGGTCGCAGACTCCAGTAATAGTAATGAAGACACTAGCATGTCCACGGCATCATCCCAACCGATGAGTAGTAGGATCAACATGCAAAGTGCTCAGTTGCAACAGCATCATCATTTCTCACCAAATGTTGAAATGCACGCTCAAGCTCATCACACCCAAGTGTACCAGCCGACCACGGTTGTTCAATCATTGGATCAACAACTGGTCGAAAGAGCTGAAGCGCATTTGAGAGAGAATGATAGGAGGTTGGTTGTCACTGAAGCCCAAGCTCAATGCTTAATGGCCGAGGCTAGGGATAGGGTAAATCAATTGGAAAGCCAATCCTTCAATCAAGTTCATGCCCTTCAGGAATCACTTGAAAGGACCAAGCATGAATCGGGGGACCAATTGAGACAAGCCCAGGAGCGAGTCCTTTATTTGGAATCACAAGCCAACGCACAGGTTCAGGCACTCCAAGATGCCTTGACGAGGACCCAGCGTGGCATAAGTGACCAGATTAGGGAACACCAACTTAGGGAGGCCGAAGCAACGCAGAGGGCGCAACAGTTGGCAGACCGATTGCTAGCAATGGAGCAAAGGTTGAATTCTCTTGAAGCCGAAAATCAATCCTTAAAAAGGGAATTGGCATGCATCCATAATGGCGCGGATACTCAGCCACTGCAGGCGAGTGGGCATCCTGCTGTGATGCCTTCGGGCACCAGCCAGCCAGTGCAGGACGGGTCCGTGATGCCGCAGGGCACCGGAAAACCCCAACCGATAGCGCATGGAAATGGTTCACATCAGGCAAGCCCCGTGATGCCTCAGGGCACCGGAATCAGTGCACACAATGCTTCATCGTGGGACTTATCA